CTCTCTCTCTCTCTCACACACACACACAAACACACACACACAAACACACACACACACACACACACACACACACACGAGAATTTAGTGCATCTTTGCAATGTACATTTGATCATGTTATTGGTTCCTGGAAGCAAAGGCACACAACCCCCTTTCCTATTATTGTTGAGAGTTTTTCAGAATTAAGGTGCAGCCAGGTTACTCCAGTGCTTGTCTTGCAAATCCCAGGAGAGACAGGCCACAAAATTTCTTCCTCACGCCACCGGCATCTCAAGACTCCTTAGAAAACATGGTTGCTATGCAGCCTTGTTTGTTCACGGTAGGTGACACTGTTTGCTGCCCGGAATGTGTAACCTGCAAGTGCAAGCTTATTAGCCTAGTGCTGAAGTGGGTTGGCCTTGAAAAGATACCCACAGCTTTTGAAAGCTGCCGAGGAAGGACAAATTTTTTAAGGGGAAAGGAAAGCACTTGCACCCACCTTCTGAGACTCTGCCACACACAGCACATTTGTTCAGGATCCTGACATAAAAGACTAGAGCAGGTGAGTGACAAGAACTGACTTCACTGCTATTTGAGGGATCAGCCCTTTCCTCTAAGGCTGTTTACTCTGCCACAAGCACACAGCCTGTAGAACCTGTCATGCAGCCCCTAAGCTATTTGGCATTCATTTTTTAATTAAGGGATAAATGCTGTTCCAGATCTGGTACAAGGCTTCCCAGGCTAGTCAAACCCTTCAAAGAGAGGAGTAGCTATTTTTGGAAAACTGAAAAAAAGGTCATGAGATACTTATAAGGAGTACTGTAAGAGTGTAATGTAGGACTGAAACTGAGGAGGACATGACAAGTTCGATGAAATAGCTGGAAATTTGTAATGGCCTCTGTGAAAAAAAGTGACAAGATAGTAGATCATAGGGTAGAAAATAATCTCAGAGTAATTTACCAGCCATCCAATGGTTTTATCTTTTTGTAAATGGTGAAGTGGAATACTGGAGGGAAAAATAATCGGGTGGAAACGTAGATGTATGGGCTTGTCCAATGTGGCTGAGAGTTATGGAAGCTGAAGTCCATAACCATCCCAAAACAGACTTACAGCATCCAGGATGCTGGGAACCTTCATTTAATATTCATAAGTTATATTAGGCAGTGTTTGTTTGTTCTTGTCTTAATGTAATGCACAAATTTACCAACAGTGGATTAATATTATGCATGAGTTACTTTGGTGTGATCAATAAACCAAATCTGTTAAAATATGTCCAACTGCTTTCCTCAAACGTGTGAAAAGTAGAAACCCAACCACTCTCTTGAAAGCTAGTTCCTGAAGATACCTTGCATTATAGATGATTTGTGGCATTATTTTTCTGGAAAAGGAGAGAACATAGGGGTCTCCAGCCCATGGTACCAAAATTCCTAATAAAAAGTAGATAATCTTAAATTCCTTTCTATTTGAATTCAAGAAAACAAAAATTTAAACAAACAAGGATAATTTGAATTATATTGCTTTGAGCTATGAAGTTCTACCAAAAACCTCATAAGCTTCCTATTTTTGTTAGAAATTTGAATAATGTTTTGATGACTGTGTTACTAAAATAATAATTTTGCAATTTCTAATAGTCCAACAATATGGATCAATGTTTTTGGTTTTTTACTGGGGAGTTTGAAAAACTTGGCATGGATGCCATCATCTCATGTTGTTTGTTGCACTTTGGCAATGTAAACACATGATGTTTTCTGCTTCTTCAAAAGAGTCAAGTCTCTTATTGTGTCTAAACCTGGGAATGGCTTCTCTGAATCCCTCTGAATTCTCTAATCCCACCATTCTTATATCTTTCAAGCTTTTTCTCAAAGTCTCTTACTTTCCATACTTTACTGCAGTATTTAGCAACTTTAGCAACTTTGAGACATGAGGGCTTCAATGTCCAAAATTTCCCTGCCAAATGACTTGCTGGGAATTCTTTGAATTAAATTCAAGATATCTTAAAGTTGCCATAGTTGATAAACATGGCCTTATTGTACCTGGTGCTTTGAGAAATTCTAAGTGCATGAAGGAACTCCAGACTATTCTACTTTCCACCCATCTCTACTTCCTGTGCTATTTCTCTCTCTTGAATGTAAGAGTTCAGGTTTCTCTGAAAATCCTTGTTGCGTCAGTGCTGCGTAAGTATAACAAGTGAATTGAATGAAAGCGGAATAGTGATGTATTATTCTGTGCATCTTGCGGTGTCCCTGGTAGTAAATCCCAGCCCTTCTTTGGAAAAACTGATATGACCCATAGATACAGGCTGCAAGATCTGTGAGGCAACGCTTATTCTTTCCTTCTGGAAATTCCTGAGAAAGTTTTTAAATTTCTGGCCATTCTCCTGCCATTGGCAAGAAAGCTCCAAGATTTTCAGCTCCCATGGGGTATGAAGCAGACACTCCCACTGCACATTATTAGGCATGTTTGCTGGTACTTTTACTCCCTCTGGATTATTGTCTTGCTGCTTGCTACTACCACAGCAGATCAGTGCCTCAGCTCTGACGCTAGAAACTGCCTGGGAGGGTGGAGAGGGGAAGAGGACAACCTTTTCTAGCCTAGAATCTCTTGTCCCCAAGTACAAAAAGCAAATAAGAAGCAGAAGTGGGGGGGGGGAAATAACACCACTGATCTTCTCTTTGATGGCAGGGGGAAAGCAACAAAATATCTGAGCAATTTAAGATTGGCAAACTTTTTAATCAACTAATCAATCTATCTTTCATGAATAGTGTGAGTCTGGTTAGCTGTTTCTAAACAGTTGACCATTCTGTAATGATCTGGCTTCACAAAATGTGTGAAAATCTGAAGTTATAGACTTGAGAGATGCTGAAATCATTCTTGGCTCACTCACTTAATAAGTGTGACATACTCACACTTCCCTGATAAAAGACCAACTAAAATTTTCTCAGGCAACCCTTTCTTTCTTTCTTGTAGTCTAGCTAAACTGAAGTGGCAGAGCTGTGCTTTAGAGTTTGGCTATACATATTTTAGAGTTAGTAGAACATAACCATTCAATAATTCTTCCAGGTTGCCTAAATAGACTGTGTCAAATCTTACTTCTGAATTGTAAAAGAGAACTACTGATCCATAATCTTGACTCTTGTACTCCTTTGACCCAAAAGCTGCATTATTACTTTTGTCTGCACATTTATAGGTTATGCCAAGAAGTTGGAACGGGTTTTCCCTGTCCTGGTTGTGGAAAAATTAAGCAAAATAAATAAAAAGATTTCTGATTCATGTTAATTTAAATCTCCATGTTAAGAAATATTGGGGGGGAAAAANTGGATATGGATATGGATATGGATATGGATATGGATATGGATATGGATATGGATATGGATATGGATATATATTTAAAATGGTAGTTCAGGGTCCGTATTTCCTGCTCTTTCCCAAATTTACAAAGTTTGACAATGCAAAATTACTAACTATTTGGAATGGAGTGTTGTTGATCAGCAATTCAATCAGGGAAGATATGAAGTATTAGAGCCAGTTTGAAGAAGGATTAAAAAACAAATATTTTCCAATCTTAGTTTTCCTAACTAAGAGGGACTTCATATGAATTTAATGTCCATTCTATAGTGGTCACATTTACATGAGTAGATCCTTAATGATTCAGCAATCTCATTTTTCACATTCCCTAATTTTTAGCATTGCTTTGTAAACAAAAAGTGCCTTGTGTTCCGTGTAAAAAATATTGGCTATAAATGGCCATGTCCTAGCAACATCTCAAAACAACAACTGGGAACCATTTCTTAATGTTTATTAATGTTCCAAGCTTAACTCTGTTTGGAACTGATTAAAAGTCTATTTTCTCCCTTGCCCCTTCTGTCTTAGCCAGAGCGAACACATTCTTTCCAAGAGAAATTGGACACTGTGCAATTGGCTGCAAAGCTAAGCTAGCCATGCATTTAAGACAATACGAACAATTAACTGGATTAATGACAGAGGAAGCCTAATGAGGCTCTCTCCAGATCATATGATTTCTATGCCCATAAGCTAATCAAGTGGCAAGCGATTAAAGCATAGCTGGTGAGAAAGGTACCCTTGAATGTTTTATACAGCGCTTGTCTTTCCAGTTATCTCCCATCACTGAACTTGCTGTATTTACTCAGTTCAGAGTTTGGTCAATGATCTGTGTAGAATAAAGACACGGCAAGCTCATTCTGCCAGTAGATGAATCCAGTGTACAATGTAAATCCAATACAGCTTAACTGGTCCTTCTTCTTTCCACTCCTGTCCCTGCCAACATTTTCCACTTTTTGGGTGACCCTCTGTACAGCGATATGGGGATGGGAAAGAATCAGAAAAATCAAGACAGGGGAAGCAAAAGGCAAAGGTAAAATTTCCTCTCACTCTTATGGTTGTAAGGAATCAATCACATCAACAGCTTTTGCCCCTCTTTGCAAGGCTTTTCTTCTTTCAGTTGCTGCTTGCTTCCTGAGCGGAATTTATAATGTTCTCGTTATTTCTTCTCTCCTCCTCCTGTTCTTTTTGTTCACATACTTGGTTGCTTTGTTAGCTCGTCACTTCAGTGTAAAGCTTTCTTGTTTTTCTTTCCTCTGCGTTCTTTTGGGAAAAGGCATTATTAAAGCTGCAGCTTTAAATGAACATCTTCAGAGTTGCAAAGAGCCCTTTTCCAAAGGTTAATTCAAACGTCTGGCAACACATGGTTACTGGCTTTGGCTCTGATTATATTGCTGCCACAAAGATTACCCTTGATGAAAAATTGCCCTCGCTCGAATTAAAGATCGCTAAGCCAGGGATATCCATGGGAGGCAGGGGATCAAGATGATGGCTTGAATCACGTAGTCATGGATACCCTCTTGACTTACCTCAGCCCTGATCGGAAGTGGAAGAACAAACTTTGTGGAAAAATCAGGAGTGTTTTCTACTATGTTACCTGTGGACTCTGCTTGATATTTCAGCTAATGTTATTTTCCTGCACACCTCTCTCAAGAACACTGATATTAGCGCCTTAACAAAGAATGTCCTTCAGCTGTATCTCAAGCAGACATGTTCTTACACAAAGAATAGGTACATGTTCTCACAACCACTTGGCTATAGGAGAAAGTCTAGCAACAGCCATGGTTATTTTCTGCCAAACATAGGATTATTTATGTAAAAGATAAGGGTGTCAACTCCAGTTTTAAAAAGATAGCCGTTACAGTACATTTCAAATTAGTGCAACAGTTGAATCTATCAATAAAAACATACATTTAAACATGATCTTGTTGAATGAAAAATGGATGCAATTCTGTTTAGCATTTAGTACACCATGGTTATGCAAATTTAATTGGAGAAGGATATTTGTGATAATACATCAGAAGCTGGATCATACAGAATTCTGGCTTCTGTGAATTGGGAATGAACAGATAATGCAAACCTATGCATGGATGGGAATTTTATTTTCCCTGAACAATTTAGGAGTGTATTTTAGTTATCTAAAGCATAGCATAAACAAACAAAACTGATATTAAATTGGAATAAGACTCTGAAGGAAAAGAGGAATGAATTTACTTTCCCACG